GTACTGCCAACATCACTTTTGAGGCGAATTAAAAGTTGCTATTTCTTCACTGTACATTTGTATTCGGCTGTACAAGATTGAGAGTTGTATTGTATAGACATTCAAGAAGCAAGCTTCACGCTACATCACGGACGTCGACATCATCAGGGCGACCAAGGGAATAACAAACGAAATAATAGCATCTAATACAATAATTGTATCTCAGGTCACTGTTACACTAATTTATTCAGCGTAAAGCTCGGAAGGTATACTCCTGACGAGAATACACATAATATCCTCATTCATTCTCTGCAACTTTCATTTGGAGGCATTAAATCAGCCTTCTTCGATATTTCCCACTTTGGCCACCAGATCGCAGCATATCAGTGTCCACCTCACGAATTTCCTTATCCGTCATTTTGTTATCACAGCTCGTAAGATATTCAAAGTTACGATTTTGAGGTCGTGTAGAATGGCACAACCTCCATATCAGATTTCATCCAAATCCGTCCTGTGGTTCTATAGTTGAATCGACAGGACGGACAGACACGTCCAGCCCATAATGCGTTATATGCTATGCACTTCGTGCAAAGAACACATGGTAACAATACAAATGAGAATAACAATATGAATAATAATTTCAACGTGTTTTCTAAGCTCTGTTTATGTGGATATGCCTATAATTTCTCGGGCGTAAAATTTAAGTAGTCTATTATATTTATGGGTGGTTTAAGTGAGAGAGTTAGTATAAATTGTTTACTCTTGAATCCTTCTGTGTATGCTGCATATGAGTTGAAGGTCCAGTTGAAGACTTAAGATCGGGATAAAATAATTGCTGGTCGAAGCCATCTCTACTCGCGATTGTGATGGTTATGGATCGGTGGTAGTTGACAGGGGAAAAGCGAAGTACTTGGATAAAACTTTCCCGAATGTTAATTTCCCCACCGGGACCGAGCTGGTAATTAATCCATGGTATATTTGCTAATTATAAACAAATAATAAACGGGGTGAAATTAAATTTTGAAGGTATATATGAAACACATTCCTGTCACTTATCTTCGATCAGTGAACCCAAAGTGGTAAATGGGGAGGCGCTGAAGTGTGAAATGAATAGACCAGTCGTTTTGCTTCGGATTGCTAACACAATGTAGACGTAATTATAGACAATAGTAGCATGAGAAAAACATGTGGCGATCATACTGCCTGCTACAGGTGTGCTTCCGTCATTGCTTTATATAGTCATGAGAGCCATGAAATTCCGCTAGAATGTTTAACGCCAGCTACTGGACGGTAACACACTATCAATTCTTCCTTTGAACGTAGTACGTGTTATACAGCTAAGCATATGGGCTGAGATGCTGTACGTAATTCTATGTGGACGGACCACTCATTTCCTTGTATGTTTTGTGATTTTTTTTCCTTGTTCCTCTTAATTCTTCCTTCTGTTCTTCGTATATTTTCCTGCTACGTATTTGAAACAAACCTTTCCATCGTATTCTGGTTCCAGCCACATCACATCTTTATTTTCAATGTATCCAAGTCGTCCCCTTCACATCTGTCTTTTACTATATTCCCCCAACCCCGCCCAACTCTTTTGGAAATCTCATCCGATCTGCGTTTTGCCTCGGTTTTCGTTTACAGGGGAAGTGAGAAATACATAGAAAATTTAAATCGTAAAGCCTCAAGGGAAGAAACCATTTTATGTCCCTACCATCTCTTAGGAAATACCGATATCAAGGGATAGACTAGTTTTATCTAGCTCAGGGTAGTAGCCAGTGGCGTGCTCCTGTGAAAACGATAATAAACCTTCAGCTTCCATAGAAGGCGGGGAATTTCTTAACCACCTAAGCGACTGTCAGTTTTTCAAGAAAGATTGTGTTCAGTCATATTTCTCAATATCTCATCTTAAAGCAAGTGGGTTTTTTATCTTTTTAATTTACGCGATGAAGGTTGTTTGAATTCTATTACTTGTAATGACTTTTTTGTTATGTTAGGCAGTTTACATACGTGGACATGAACTTCAGTTGCTTGGCGCTAGACGACACTTTGTCCTTGAGATAATTCCTGTCACTGTGCTCATAAACAGCAGTATATTTCATAACAAAATGCCCTTATGGATATCTACTGAGTGAAATAATGCATTGTCACAAATAGTAATTGGTTCGTCGTCAAATTCACCCTTTGAAGCAGAAAATCATTTAAAAGTATTTAGGAATTCAATCCGTACCTCTAAGAAAACAGCTCGTCTCCATAACAATGACCCGCTGATTAATATT